GTTCGGTACAGGAAAATGGATTTGGAGCGCAAGGTGAAGTTTCACGAGCAGGTTCTCGGCAAGTGCTGGCTGTCCGAGCAACGGGGAGAAATGGCGGACGAGAATACGAGATCAAGATCTACACGACGCATTGTCGCTTATACAAGAGTTATTAATGATGTTGTCCGCGTGTTCAAGTGGGCATGCCTTGCGCGCGATCATGGATGGCATGATGGGCGCTGGTACCAGCCGGGTGTATCGTGCTACCATTATGACAAGAAATGGCGACGACGCAAACACATATCCTGTGAGTACCTCATCGATTCACACGAGAATGCCGAGCTAAATTCTACGGACACCTGCATCAAGACGAAGTTCGCCCCGCAGGCTGGCCAGATGACAAGCACCACACATGCAGAATAATTTGATTCTGCCTTCCGTAAGCAACGTCTACCATGTTGCCTTATGCCGTTTACAATAAATCATTAGCGCGAATTGGCTGCTTATATAACCTCATAACTTATGTGTTGGTTCTCCTGAATACTACTAGTAGTGTACAAATAGTACTTCTAGTCTCTTATTCGTAGTACGAATTTTGTACAAAATAAAATGCTGCAAGCGTGCTTTATTCAACTCAAATTTATCTCGCTCTTGTGACACACAGCACAGCGTTGCACAACTTTACTTGAGCGGTTGAGTAGCAGGTATAGTTCAGAAGGACATCGTTGGATGGCGAACGATGCAAGTTCGCCTGCACTGATTTCTGCGCGGGGTCGACCCTCGGCATTGCTGTGCGCCTCTCTGCCCAAAAACTAGTCGTGTACCCCATCAGCACGTACCTTCTCAAGCCATTGTGATCTACCCATCAGCAACCAAAATACAAGCTCCTGCTTCCACACAGCACAGAGTATTATAGCGTAAGACCAGTTCGTGCACACAGAAACACGACCATAGCTCACACACAGTTATTAGACTACGCTCCATTGCTTTCTTCTCCAAAGGCCTTCGTTTTTCGCTGGAGAAAAAGATTTTTGAAACGGCCAGTGTGTCGAATCTGTACCAAAATTACCGGTATCTGATAGTACAACGAAAGCTCTTGTAAAAATGCCGAAAACTGGCAATAAATCTGAGTAGGATTCGTACTAACCCATTAGGCCATTCTCAGATGCAACAGAGTCTCTAATTCAACAGAAGAGCTTGAAGTGAGATCCACGATGTGGAGATTCAACTTGGGACTTCGAATTTGTCCAAACCAATTGAAGTTGAGGTCGAAGCGGTTCATGATGATCATTGGTGGAATCTTAGCCGACCAATGAGCGTGCTCAACTTTTTCGCGCCAATATTTAAAGTTGCAGATAGCGGTCGCGGAACGCCGCGCAGATCGGCGGAGTTTTGATATTCATTTTTCAATTTGCCAGCTACTCATCATGGTTTGGAGGACTTCGTGCTACAAACTATAATCGACAAGATCGCTGTTGCAATATCGTCACTCCCGATGCGACATCGCCATTGTCGTCTCTACTGTCGTCGTAACCGCTGCACGGCGCGCTGTCGGAATAGCCTATTGTCTACTCCTAGACGTCTCGCCGGTTATGGCACTACTGTCGTCGTGTCTGCTGTACGGCACGCTGCCGATCATGCCAACATACACCACCCCGTTAATGATTGCCAAGATGCCTGTCGAACTCCTCCGTTACTTCCCGACTGTCCCGTCGGAAGTTTGTCAGTGCGCTAATGCACCTGCCGCATAGTACTGGTCACTGGCAATCGCAACTCCCGCCAATCAAATAGCTATGCGGACTTCTGAAATGTGCGGTTACCGGGATGCGGATATGCGCGGTATTCAAGTATCCACCAGCTCTACTTCGTCGGCGATATCCGCGCTGGGAGGACCCCGGTAAAGCTCCCGATGCAGTCATCCCGCCGCAGCTCAACGCGTTTCTCGACTTACTGCACCGATACCCAGCGATGCGGTGACGCCTGCTACGCAAGACTAGAGGCTCGCCAACTAGGATGGTAAGACGAGCACAATAACCGCGTTCAACTACGAGTCTCTACGGATCCAGCGCAGAACCACCAGGACACTGTTGAGTCCAAGCGAACAGTTCCCGCTGCTATTTCATTCCTACTTCCGAGAACTCGAGACACGCAGCTTGAAATTATTCACTCCTGTAGAAGCGCTCGGGTGCAGCGCTATCTATTTGCAGCTCAGGCACTGATTCATCAGTCCGCAGCCGCAAGCCAAGTCGTCAAAAGCTGCGACGACTCCAGCAGTTGTGGAGGGCCAGGAGGATCCTGTTGTCAAGAAGAAAATGGCAACAGTACGACCATAGCATCTTCAAGTGAGACTTTGACTCGTTTTGCACCAAACAGAAGAGCTGAGTACAATGTACATACCCTACTAAAATGGAAACCACTAAGTAACATATAAAGCAAAGATGTAGTATTTGGGCGTACTTACAGTAGTAACGATTGTTGTAGGATAAAAGCTCAAGCAACTATGATCATTACTATTAATAATGCTATAGTAATACATAAAATACTACAGTAGTTACGTAGTGTAATTTTCATGATAGTACACTAGAACCAGGTGCTATTTTACTACTAATACATTGCTATCAACCGACGGCTCTTGACAATATGGACAACTGTAGCACTCGCTGTCTCTCGACAAGTGCGTGTACGAGCGGCGGCGCGCTGCACTACACCAGGTAGTGGCTGCCATGCACAGCGCTCCCCTGCTGACCACCTGCGTGCGACTTGGACCTCACATGACTGAGATCTCGATGACGAGCAGTTCCAGGAGTTTATGTCTTGTGACTTTCACGTTCGGCACTGATTCGAGCGCTTCAAACGCGGTTGCGCTAAGCTTTAGCCTTGCCCACCAACAGCATTAAATGCGATGGCATTGAAGCCTGCGGTAGCGCGAGGCAGAAATATTCGCTCTCTATGCGTGTATACATGTATTTCGAAGTAAAAGAAGCCCAGATCCACCAAAGAAAGGTGGAGAATAGCATTGCAGTGTATGAGTCAAAGCTACGAGTGTGCAACAAGACGATACAAGCCGATCACGTGGCGGAGCTCGTAATAGGCCGCAAAAAACGTAAATGCGCATTACCTCGAGAGCCTTCCTTGTCGACAAGCCGCCCAATTTTATTGCTGAAATCTTGAATGCATGTACCAGCCTGGTACATGTACTTAGGACTTCAACGAAAAGTCGGAGCTGGTACTACCCTCCAATTTGGTCTTGAAAATGGAGCCTGGACACTCCAAGGCGCACCTTATGCAGGCTCGAGTGAGTCTCGAACGTGAACATTTCAAAGCAGCTTCAGCGTCTCTAGATCAGGCTCTCAGCTACGACTTCTCTGTTCGTCAATCGCTCTCGTACTACATCATCAAGGCTCGTATCCTCGAAAACTCTGGCGATGTGCGTGAAGCACTACAAACTCTGCAAACCGCCATGAAGATGACGCAAAGTACTGGAAGTTCTGGAATCCGGCGACAGA